GCAAGGCTGCGAAGCAAGAGTTTGGATGGAGGATGCAGTGAAGACTCTTTGCGCAGAGCGACTAGGAACAGAAAATTTCCAAGAAATGCCGTGATGGACAGAAAAGCATTTAAAACTGCGAGAAATGTCAACTGGCCATATATTGCAGAAGGTATGTCTAGTGAGCAGAACAGGTCTGCAACCTTTTTAGAATAATTCGGCTTTTCGTCTTCAGAAACGTTTGTAGTAGCCATTACTCCGCAGCAATATGACAATCTGTGTCGGTGTGAGCTCAACCGCTGGCTAGAAGGACTGGATCTAAATTCCTGCTTTTTGATTTATTTGTCCAACATGTCATCCATGAATAGTTAATACGGTAAAGCGGCTGACTAGCTGAGCAGATGGTTTCATTGTCAAAAACTCACTTTTTTCTACTTGGGAGCAACATTGTACGTGTTTTGTTTGATAATAAAAATCAAAATAAGGGCAAAAATACAAATTTATAACCTGAATTTTGGGCTCGAAGCTTTTATTTTCAATTGCAGAAAATATTCTTAAATTCTGGAAACTTCCTGTTACCGTTATAGCTAATTTGTTCTTCGAAAATGGCCTATTGCCCACAATCAGGCGACATATCCGGGACTTTAACGGCACTCCTGGCCCTAAATTTGAACTTCATTGAGAAATACTGAGATACAACAATATAGAAAATCGTCTGTTATGAAGTGAGAGGGGTCATTTTGGAAGGTTTTGGCCAAAAAAACAGAACATTTATTATTTTAAGTACATGGTTTCAAACAGAGGAGAGATCAATAAAACGTTTTTTGCTCTAGACTGTCCACAAACTACTAAAAATCCGAAATGGACAATTCCAGATCAGGTAATATGGGGAGTGGCTTTTTTTTGACGAAAAAGCAAAGAAATTTTGTACCGCTGTTACTTGTGTTGCTCCTACAAGTAAGTGTAATATCCTCAATATACCAATAAACTGAACTGAGTATCACCCTTAACTTCATAAAACAGCGTTTGTGGACCATGATCCATTCATTATCGTTTTAAGCCGGTTTTTTCTTTCTTTTAGAAAACAAGGACAAAGCAAACTTTTTACGAAAATATTTAACTCTAGAAGCTAAGATCAACCAGTTCTATATACTATTTTTAGCATTTGAAGAGCGGGGCACCAGCTGATTCAAATTAACAATTCCTCGCAATTAAACATTACCTTTTTCTCCAAAAATGACAACTGCTTTGCTAAAGTTGGTTTTTATTTCATTTTCCGTCGCTTCCAAAGCACCGTGTACAAGCTGCGTATA